TAGCAATTTTGAATAATATTAATGCATACTTTTTATGTAATACGAAAATATCATCTACATTTTAATGAGATTTTAAATTAATCACAAGACTTCGTTTTTGTATAGTGAATTTTCTATTTAATATTTATCTCATATAATATTTATATATTCTTATATTATAACCGTAATATAAGACAACAAAACATTTTTAAATAAATAATGTACATTTTTTTCGATATGTACCAACATCAATTCTACATATTTGGAATATATTTAATTCCAGATCAGCTTTTAACTACTATTAACACTTAGCACAGCTATTATTTAATTAGCTTAACATAAATAAAAATTTATCGCCCTCAACTTTGACAACAAAGCGTTAACATATACTGCAACTTCACAGAGAGAGAAACTAAGCTTTTCTCCAAACGTTTATGTTTTAAGGTTGCCAAAACTCTTATAGTACTCACTAAGTTCATCTAACTAACTAGATATTTATATATATATAAATCAACACTGGGATTTTTCATTTGGCTGCCAATATATTATAAAATTAACCAATTCCATTATTGTCTTTATAAAAAAGCCATGTACCAAGCTTCATCCAAAAGCTTCATTAACTGAGTTTCTAGTTTTGATATTGATTAATTTTTAATTTTATGAAGACTGCTACGGTTTCATTTAATATACTTTTTTTTTTTAAAATTTTTTGCACCAAAAACTTGAAGATATATTGAAGCTAGAAATATTGTTTGAGAGGATAAGTGCATTTTATTTATACTTTATATATATTTCGATATAAGAAATAACTGATTTAAAAAATTTAGATTAGTTTTTTTTAATATTTAATAATTTATTTGAAAACTAAATTTTTTTAATGAAATTATTCCGTGCTTAATGTTAATTCACTTTGAAATTGATGTACTGGAAGACTAAAGTTATCTTAGACTTTAGCTAAGCACTGTATATCTTTTGATCCTTCAAACAGCTATTATATTATATTATACAGCTATATATATTACATTATATTGTTCTTCGTTTAATCGTCATGAAATAGAAAATATTTGTCATATTATTGGTGTATGTCCAATTTTCAGAGAACATTTGATAAAGCACTTCTGTCTGAAGAAGAAGTGAAAGTCTTATTAAACGGTAGCAATATTTATAAACTCTATAAATTTATGAAAAGTGTTTTAAGTTACAGAAAATTTATTATTGATGAATTTATATAAATAATAAAGTTAATATTATACGCCCCCTTTTGTATGCCAATCTGACACACAAAAAATATGTTATTGTCAATTTAGATTTTAAATAAAATTCTATAATTTTTGTAAGTGCTGTATAAATTTTTTTAAATCAATAAATAATAATAAATAATAATAATAATAATAA